AGAAACCAATGTCAGCAGGACTAGCTTCAGTCAGCTCTTCTTAGACACAAAGACCCTCATCCAGGGGCCTCTTCCTCAGATCTCTAATTCAGCAGGTACAGCATGGGGGTTGGGAATTTGCATGTCCAACTAACAAACTCCCAGGTAACACCAATTCTGCTGATCTGGGACATACTTAAAGAACTACTATCTTTTAAAGAATAGCTCCCGCATAGACATTCAAAAAGAAATCTGTTAAACTGGTCTATATATAAGTGATTAGTGTTCAATTTTCAGTTCTCTAATTTGTGGAAGACCTCTGATGAGTGCTTAGGTAAGTACAAGTGAGTCCATCGGGAACAGATACTGGCATCTGCCAGCTCTTTGTGCCATACACAGGTCCCTTGCCTTAGCTGGATACCTTGGCTGAACCTCTCAAAGATCTATTTCCCTTTCCAGTTCCACTAAAATTCTTTTTTAATTTGTCACTGAACAACTCACAGCAGCCCTCCGGCAGATGAAAATTTCATGAAGGCTCCTCAGCTGCATTCTGCAGACAATCACCTGTTCCCTCTTTCAGGGTACTTGAATAGATGCAAATATATTTTGGCACTCAAGCATGTCACATTCAAATGCACCTAAGTGTGAACTTCCTAGATGCAGTTTCTGTAGCATTTCTAAAATGAGAGATGAATGCTCAATGGATCTGACAAACCAGCAAGAAGACCAAACATATCCACCGGCATGAATGGAAAAAGTAATTATATTTAACAACTATCAGTTTAAAAATAATATATTACAATAAAAAAATCATTAAAATGAGGAATGGTATGTCCTAGCAATTATAAAACAAGGTTGAAATATTTATTGAATTACAGCACACATGATTATTCTACCAGTTCCTATTAAGCACCTGGGAAAAGGAAAACCTAGAATCTAAGACTCTACCACAAAGAGCTTTGGCCTATGGATAAGACATCATGGTCAAATTTTTACTTTCTTCTTTCCATAGAACCATAGCATGGGACCACAAGAGGCAGGTGAACTGAGCTTTGGGTACAAGTTGAGAGAAGATCATGCTTAGATGCAAAACTAAAGATCTTATATATCTGAAAATGAAGGGAAAGGCATCCTATGTGGGGCTTCAGATAATAAACAGTTTATATGTCATCCAACCCATACTCATAGTAATAGCAAATGCTCTTTATTTTGGTGATGATGCTAGCAGACTAAAGAAGACTAAAACCTTTCCTATAATTTAGTGAGAGAAAAAGAAGTTATGAAATTTGAGAGAAGACAGTTCACTGACACACATTTAAGAAAAGAAAAAAACCAAAAGGGAAAAAAAAACAAAAAAAAAAACAACAAAAAAAAACACCCATGCCCCTAATGGTGACAACCTGCTAAAGTTAGATAAATCTATTAGCTGGCATTCACAAGTGTTAAGTGATTTAGATAAGAAAATTGTAATTACTGCTTGTGCTTTTTAGTAGTGCAGCCTAGCACATTCCCAAATGAAAGTAATTTAGCAATGAAGAGATAACTAAATACCAATATCAGCAGCAAACTGGAAATGGATTGTGAAAAGACAGAGTGCTATTAGTGATGCAAGGAGAAGCTGGGATGCAGTCAACTGTGGGGTAATGTGGTTACACATCACTGTGACGTGGGGTGACATCCATCTGCATTTTCTGTCCTTGGTATCTTTTTGTTCTAAAAAGAGCGAAAAGATGCTTAGATCTGTTTCTAAAAGATTTCTTATGTTTTACAGCTTTCATTAATCTAATGAATAGATTAGGTATCAGTAAGGCCTATTCTGAGGAACAAGAAACAATGGCGCAGGAAGGATGGTGGGACCAGAGGCTGAAGTTAAGATACCAGATGTGGGAGACCAAAGCGGCCTTGATTCATGATCTGTGGGTAGAACCTATGCCTGGCTTAGAAAGTGAAAGCATATCTAAGTCAAGACTTCAGACAGTGAAGTGTGAATTTGAGCACGTGAGTGATAATGAACAGTCTGCTGTGATATTTTTCACACAATGTTCTATCAATTCCCCAGGTGTCTGGCTACTCCAAGATCCATCTCCAAGCAACTTGGCTGCCAAGTGCTAATTCAAAAGACCTGACTTTGCAGAAATTACCTAAGCAGGACTGTGTAGAAATGCTACACAGAACTGGCTTTAAAAAGCTGCTTCATGGGCAAAAGCCAAGAGAGGTTTTTAGTATAAAAATGATACTTTATTTCATCCAGCTCCAGTTTACTGTGTTTTTAATGAAGTTCATGTGAATGCTTTTGACTCTAGGCATTTTTAAGTAAACCTTGACTGATGATGCTTGTGATGGGATTTCAAGCCCTGGCTCCTTTGTCTTTAGCAGTTAAGACTATCTGTAATAGGAATGTGCTAGTCCCAGTCTCTTTATTGTAACAACATATTTCAAACATATGTATCTATATCTGTATCATATATATATGTATATGTATTTTACTTTGTGTTTTAAAAGCATGTTGTAGTTCTCATTTTGATAATCCTCAAACATCAAGAAAGGCTAGGTAATTTTAATCTTTAATTTCTGAAAGACTGTAGATAGTTTCCCCTGGATATTATCTATCAGTTAAAGAAAAAAAAAATCTTCGTGAGGAAAAAAGTTATCTTGCCAGTCTCATGTGAGGCCTTGAGACTCACAAAGCCATCTTGCATTTCCTTGCCCTAAGACTTGTTAATGGCATTTATACACAATGCACAGCATTCTAACACCTTCAAACAAAGCATTTTATGTCAATTTCATTAGCAGTGATACTGCGGATACAGCTCAGCAGCTCAGTAGAATGCCTGAGGAACTCAAGCCCATCGGATCTGAACACCGTGGCACCATGGTAATAAAAAAATTAAGAGCATCCTGCAGGGAAAGACAAGTTCTGCAATTAACCTTCAATGTCAATTAGTACTACCACTTTCTAGCAAAAGTCCTATCTGGATAGACATAATGATAAAAAATTTAGTTTCTAACCTAAATCACTACCCAAAATAGGCATATTTTAAAAATAATTTCCCATTAGGTACAAGTTTAAAATAAAAAAAAATATAAACACTTCACGTGAGATATTTAATAAACCTCAATCCACACGAGACATAGTCACAACTATGTAAAGAATATCTTGAACTTAAATAAATAAGCTAGTGATCATTTCCTCATGAGGAGCAGAGAAGACAAAATGATCACTGCAAAATTAAATGTTATGTTCTAGGTAGAGCCCATACTGAACAGTACTCATTGTAATAGGAGCCAGCACTGGTCAATTGTAGGAAAGTATACCTAGACTATGTTGATCAGAAAGCAAGCAAGGGCTCACAATGAAGCTAAAGCCACAGAGGCCACCTTGAAGGAACTCAAACTGGCCAAATCTGAGACAATCTGAGCATTCAAAATAGACCAAAGCCTACTACATGAATTGCCAACCTATATAACCCTACTAAATTTAAATACGTGAATAAACAAACAGCAAGAAGAGAAAGCTTGTTTTTACAGTGAAAAGTAAACCAATAAATGCAGAAGAAATGATGAAATAACAAAAGTACCTTGTAGCAACCAACAGAATACTACAGTTCACAACACTGAAAATAAGTTTCTAGAACTGTGGGTAAAGTACAATAAAGGATAGAACATTACATCAAAGTAACTTCCCAATCTATTTATTAAAAGCAGAAGCAGAAGACTGATATCAAAACACCTTCCCAATAAAGGCAGGGAAGCAAAGTACCCTCACACTGAAGAAGCCTAGCCACAGCCAGCTTAACCTTAACCGAGGAGCCAAACTGAGTGTCACCAGCAGTGGACAAATGAAAACCACAAGATGGGATGGGATAGAAAAAAAACACAGCATTTGGCGCCATCAGAAATACATCACGTTGGGAATTGAGTAACTCAATGGTGGAGCCCAGAAACAAAATTACATAGCATTAGTCTAATGAGAAACACCAGATAAATCCTATATTTATGCAGAAGGACGTTATCGGATGTACTTTCCGAATACCTACAAGTTCAAGCAAGACCAAGGGCCTTCTCCAGGCTGAGGAGACTAGAGACTGTACAATGTTACACCCAGGAGAGACAAGTGGAAAGATCTGAATAGGGTCTAAGGGTCAGATGATAGAATTAGCATTACTTTTCAAGTTTGGATGGTTATACTGTAGTTGTATGGAGAATCTCACTGTTTAAAGGAAATACACTCCGAACTACTCAGAGGTGACAAGACACTCATAATTTGGATCCTGAATGTCCCCCTAAAGATCCATGTGCTGAAAGCTTGGTCTTCTGAGTGTGCAGACAGAACTGCTGGAAGAGATGCAGCCTACTGAAAGGGGTCCATGTAATTAGGGTGTGCTTCGATGGGGGTAACTGGACTCGGCTCCTTCCTCTTATATTTTCCAGTCGTGAAGTAAGTGGTTTTGTTCACTACATGCTCCAACCATCATGTGTGCCTCACCACAGGCTCAAATTTGTGGAACCAACTGATCACAGACTAGAACTTCATTTTCTCTTTAGAAGCTTATCATCATAGTTATAGTGAGAAAAAGTTGACTAACAAGGACAATATTTGCTTTCAAATAGCTCTGTAATTTGAAGGTTCTATACTACTTTCATACTTTTAATAATATTAGAATTGTTTTTAAAAGAAAAAAAGACATAATACCAAGTCCTGTGTGTCTATTCATAAGAAGAACACAAACATTGGAAATGAAAGTATTAAAAGAAGTCATTGTGTTAAACTGATCTTATGAGAAGAGCTTTTTGACTTAAAAAGTCCTTTAAAGGCTTATTTCCATAACAATTCTGTGTGATGTTTGATTCAATAAGACAATGGGTATTATAAAGCATCCTCCAGCAGAACAGAAAACACAATGAGGTAATAGGTCTCCACCCTCTTCGCATCTAATCAGTAAGATTCGCCTGCCCCCGATGCCCAGTTAACTTGTTTTCCCAATATACACAAAAGAACTCTGAAAACTCAAGTCAGATACCTTGATTTAGGTGTGTGGCATCCATGATCTGAACACCATTCACGGAGCACTGGGACCCACTCAGAGGAATCAGAGTCACTGTCCCCCCGACATTTTCAAAGACACAATGCTCACTCTCCAAGTCGAGGCCATGAAGAACTAAGATAGAAAAAGGAAAAGGGTTTTTATTCTCCTCCTTTGGCATCTGATACAACGATTCCCAACAATTTATTTAGTTTTCATTTTGAACACCCTTCCTTTTCCAAGAAAGTATTGTGAAGTGAGCATTTATGTTCAGTGAGAAAATTCTAATTTGTAAGTTCACAGCATCAACTGACAGAAACAGAGACATCCACTGGCTGTTACCTCAAAGAGTCTCGCTATTCTCTGTGTAGAGGTAAGTTCTGGAACATTAATTTATTTCTTCCTAAGAAAGAAAATAGCTGAGTAGCTTGTCTTAACTGAGTACCTTTGAATTGCTCTGTTCTATAGTGAGCACAGTTCTTCTACCAGTCACCCAGAGGCCACAGGACAACAGAAGGGCAAAGGCCTTAGTCTATAACAGCTCTGCACTTACAGAAAATGTTTTCCAGGAACAGAAAGCGCATGCATGCCATGGCATGGATCTCGGGACACCCCAGGAGCCTCCAGAAGCTGCCCTCTGCTTCCCACTGCCACAGTCTGTACTAATTTCCGAGACCACTCAGAGCACCCTGATGCTGAGGTGTATCTAATTATCTACGAGTATCCTGGCAACGGTAGAGACGAACACTGTCAAATCAACTTGTGCCATCATAGGCATAGCTCTTGGTCAATCTCTCAGGAGCAGTTCCCACTCTTTCCACATAACTGCACTACTGAATGGCTCTGGCCAGACAGCACATGTTCTTACCACGTGTCATCATTTATAGCTACTGCCACAGCATAATTCAACCAAGGGGCCTGATGCCAGAGTACTTAAGCCTGGGAACTTCTGGGATTATTTTCAACCTCTCCTCATCTTTAGTAAATAATAAGTGTACACAGAAACATGTGATAACTGACTTAAAAGATTATACCGGATTGCAAAGCCAAGTTTATCACCTTAAAAATGATGAAAGTCTTCCCCCAAATCACCATCATGCCCCTCTACAGATATATACCCACCCCACATCCTGTTCCACAAATTGCCTCATGGGATGTTTGGAAAGCCGGGCAGGACCTCATGTGCACAGGCTGAGTCTCTGGCTATCTGTGTGCCTTGTGAAGACCTGTGGGAAACTCTTGCCCTCTTACATGTGCCCAGCATGCTGTCTCAAACTTTGTCATTGTCCTTGTGCTGATACCTGTCTATATCCTTCCTTTTAAAAGGCTTGGGGTCCTTTATTCATGTCTGCTGACTTATTTCCATCAATCACTGTGACAAGGACAGAATGACAAATGTACAGTGACTGAACAACTGCACTTTTGAAAGACCTGGCAGGGTACAGAATGTACGTGGCGTGCAGAAAAATTCTTGGTTCTACTTTATTCACTAGATTGACTGTCTTTGGTATCCAATTGACTTATGTTCAAACTTACAGACACAAATACACTGGGTAATACATTTGAACATTTTCAAAATTTTCTTTCTTATAATTACTTCAATGTCACTCAAGATTCTTCACTATCTAAGAGTTTTTTTTAAAAGCACTGAGAAGAGGTAACTGGCAGAGTCTCACCAATATCTTGTTCTGTTGAAGCATCTTCTCTACCAACATATGTCTGACCTTCCTGAAAAGAAAAATCAAGTAACATTCATTAGTAAGCAGAGAAAGATGGCCTGCTTCTCCAGTTTTCATCCTAAAGCAACCTGCTAGTCAATAGAATGAGCAAGGTCTGGGGCAGGCCATGGCTTCAATGAACTTAGGGGACTGGGCCCTGCAACGATACCCCACATGGTCTGCCAAGTACCGGCATCACCCAGAGGTTCAAAAGGGTCAAACTTCTGCACTCTGCTCATGCCAGCACTGCCATGTATGGTTCAGATCCTTTCTACAGGGGTCCTCTTTCACCGGCCAGAGGATTCTTTGTGTCTAAAGATGCAGAGTATGGGAGGCTACAAAACTCAAAGGTAGTACTATCTCAGTTTAAGCCAGGGCACAGAAAGAGGACATTAAGTCAAGGACACACGAGCACCACTCATGACTGACATGGAACTCTGCTTTCTAGAACTGCAGGATCTGCTCAGAGCCCAGCCTGAACATGTAAGGGGAAGGTACCACTCCATAATTACCAGGAGGAAGCAGACACTGGGCATGTAATGAATCCCAATTCTAGGTGCTCCTTTCTTCCTTAGCTTTTCTGTCTCTTTGTTCCTTATCTCCCTTTTCCTGATTTCACAGAACAGGAGGCAAAAAGAATGACTCATCACTTAACTTTGGAACTATATAAACACAAGAGCTTCAAATGTCACAGAATCCCAATGAACTGCTGAAATCCCCAAAGGTTCAAGGATTTGTTGTATATTCTCTAACTTAATAGCTGTATTCATGGACATAAAGTATTATAATAAACCTTGCTAGAATCTAAGGGGAAAACTGGAAACAAAATTAGAATGTTCTACTTAAACAGTCTCTACCTTCAAGTGATACAAGATGATTCCAGTACTCAGAAGGTCATCGTCAATGCCAATCAAGTGAGGCAGCTCAGAGTCCAGAACCACACCAATCCCTTCTTTCCTGAGGGCTAAGGTTTGCTCCTGAAATTAGGAGAAAAGAAAGAACAAAAAAATCACTTTGCAGAAAGGCAATTTCATATTAGGTGTTCTTTAGATATTTAAAATAGGTAACATTTTATTTTTTGTAATAAAAAAAAAAACTGCAAGAAAATTTGACTTTAAATTTCATGTTGGAAACCTGGCAGGCAGTAGGCAAAGTGAACTTGAAACATATGAAACACTCAACACAAACCAAATGGAACTCTTAGCTTGATAAATACAACCTTTTTAAAGTCAATCTCAAGGCTCATCTTACTCAGGAAAGGTTTTAGCATTACCCTCTACAAAATAATCTCTCCCTTCTTCAGATTCTTTATTTCCTTAATAGTTAAAAGTCTCCTTAATTGTCAGCCCTTATCTCTGGTCACTATGGTGAACTCTGCATGCTCTCAAGACAGCAACTCCCCCAATGTGTCTTGTATCTTTGTACCACCGATGCCTTCCAGACCCTGTATTACCAGTTTCTCCAGACTATAAATCATTCCCACCTCCTCACATGCCTGAAATAGCTCTCCCCCTCTCCAGCCACTATGCCTATCACCTCCCTCAGCCCAGCTTCTCCCTCTAGAAATCACACTTTCCCCCCAATTTTCTTACACTTCTCCATTTTCTCCCAGCCACTCTTTCAAAGTTATCCCATGGAGTCTGTCACCTTGGATTCACGCCCTAGATGATCAACCTCATCCTAACCCTTGACTTTACCAGGTATTGATATGCTGAGGTACCTTAAATTAAAATTGCCAGGACTGAGGCTGGAGAATGACTCAGTAGTTAAAAGCACTGGCTGCTCTTGCAGAAGATCCAGGTTTTGGTTCCCAGCACCCACATGGCAGCTAATAACTCCAGTTCCAGGGGATCTGGCCCCCTCTTCTGACCTCCATGGGGACTTCACAATACAGGTGCACTTACATACATATAGGCAAAAACTCATACATATAAAACAATAAAATAAATACTAAATAAAATATAAAATTGCTGAGGGGCTGAGAACTCAGCAGACAGCCTGAGAGTGCCTGATCTGGCCTCCCGCAGGTATAGGGGCTGAGACCACAGCAGACAGTCCGAGAACCCCTGGATCCAGCCTCCAGATGGTGGTGAGCTTCACCAAAGCTTCCCCAAATCACACCATACAGAACTCCCTAACTGGGTTTAAGTGAGACCCCTCCTATGGCCCCTGGGGTAGCCCCACCCTACTGTAGGGTAGAGACCTTAGCAGAAAGCCTCAGAGTGCCTGATCTGGCCTTCCTTGGGTTAGGGGCTGACAACTCAAAACACTGCCTGAGAGTGCCAAAATCAGGCCGCCCCTTAGTGATCTTCCCCAATTGTGCTCTGAGTACCCACTAGTAGGGTTCCAAATGTTAGAAGGAAGCCTGAGTGTACCTGACTGGAGCCTGACTTGGGCAGCTGTGGGAGTTCCTGAGTAGCTGATTTGAAACAATCAGCTCCCAAATAAAATCTGAGAGAACGAGAGAAACAAAACAAAACAAAACAAAACAAAACAACAAGGCCAAACAGCTTTACATACCCAAGAAGAAAACACCCAAGGCACACCAATAATATAAACAGAAACAGACTTCAACTCAACAAAGGAAGGCTTGAGTTTCACACCAGAATCACAAACAACAAAAGAAATCCACATGCCAAAATTGCAACATAAAAATAAGAACAGGGAAAACCAAAACAGCAGGTTTCCACTAAACTCCACCAGTTGAATAGAATAGAAGAGTTCTACAAGGAGAACCCCCTACAGATAACCCAGGGCACAGAATTTAAAAGAACAATCATAAATATGATCAAGGAATTCAGTGAATTTAAAAAACACACAAACAAACAAATCAAAGAACTAAAAGAAGACAGGAATAAACTTCTGACTGAATTCACAAAAGAGAAAGAAACACTGAAGAAAACTCAGGCTGAAATGAAGAAGGAAGTGAAAAACTCAATAAGCCAATTTGAAAAAACAGGAGAAAGCCTCACCACTAGAGTAAATGAAATGGAAAGCAGAATATTAAAACTTGAGGATAAAGTTGAAGAATTGGATCAGTCAATCAAAGATTATGAGAAATTAAAAACAAAAACAAAAACAAAAACAAGAATGGAATATGCAGGAGATGTGGGACAACACAAAAAAGCCAAATCTGCAGATCATAGGCAGAGAGAATGGAGAAGAATTTCAGGTTAATGGTATTGATCAATCTTAACCAGGATTGAAAAAGAGAACTTCCCCAAATTAAGAAAAGACATCCCCATACAAATACAAGAAGCACATAAAACACCAAATAGGATCAGAAAAGAAACTCTCCATGGTACATCATAGTAAAAACACTAAACATACAGCTCAAAGAGAACACTGAAATACAAAGGAAAGCCCATCAGAATTACAGCTGACTTATCAATGCAAACTATGAAAGCCAGAAGAGCCTGGACCAAGGGATTTCCAGTTCTACATGAAAATAGATGCCAACCCAGATTACTTTACCCAGCAAAAATATTTATTATAGTTGAGGGGGAAAGAAAAACCTTCCATGACACAAATAGCCTGAAAGAATATACCAGCCCTCCAAAGAATACTTGAACCAATACAGAGAGCAGAGAGAGAAACAACTATACCCCAAGGCAACAGAGAGAAACTAAATGAAGGTACAATTGTGGAAAGGCAAATTAGACAAATAATCAAAATGATGGCAACCAATACACATCTTTCAATTATAACTTTAAATATCAATGGACTGAACTCCCCAGTCAAAAGACAGACCAGTTGAATGGATTAAGAAACAAAATCCATCTTTTTATTGTCTGCAAGAAACCCATCTCACCTTCAAGGACAGGCATTTCCTTAAGATGAAAGGATGGAAAATAATTATTTCAAGCAAATGGCACTAAGAAACAAGCAGGGGTTGCAATTCTAATATCTGAAAAGATAGGCTTCAAACTAAAACTAATCAGAAGAGATAAAGAGGATCACTTCATTTTGATCAAAGGAACAATGAACCAAGAAGATATTACAATCATGAACATATATGCACCAAAGTCTGGTGCACCCAGATTCATAAAAGCAACACTATAGGACTTGAAGACTCAGATTAACCCCAACTCATTAATAGTAGAGGACTTCAGTATACCACTGTCTCCATTAGACAGGTCAACTGAACAAAGAATAAACAGAGAGAGGTCAGAATTAAATGATATCATACATCAAATGGACCTAACAGACTAAATATTCCACCCAAGGACCAAAGAATATACACTCTATTCAGCATCCCATACATGGAACTTCCTCAAAAATTAACAACATACTGGAGCATAAAACAAACCTCAACAAATACAAAAAAATTTGAAATAATTACATGCATTCTATCAGACCACAATGCAATAAAGCTTGAAATCAACATTTTAAGCCCTAGTCACTACACAAACACATGGAGATTAAACAACACACTCCTGAATGACAAGTGGGTCAAAGGAGAAATTAAGAAAGAAATAAAATTATTGCTGTAACTAAATGAAAAGGACAATATAAAACAATAAAACCTGTGGGACACTTTAAAAGTACTCCTAAGAGAGAAGTTGTCCTGGTTTGTTTCTCCATTGCTGTGACAAAACACGCTGATCAATAGCAACTTGGGGAGAAAAGGGTTCATTTGTCTTACATATCCCAGGTCACAGTTCATCAGGGAGCCCAAGGTAGGAACTCAAGGCAAAAACCTGGAAGAAGGAGCTGGAGCACAGGCCATGGAGGATCTCTGCTTACTGACTTGCTCCTTTGCTCTGCTCAGCCTGCTTTCTTATGTAACACAGGTCCACCTGCCCAGGGGTGGCACCACCCACAGTGGGCTGGGCGCTCCCACATCACTCAACAGTCAAGAAGATGCCCCACAGATATGGCCACAGGCCAGTCCTATGGAGGAAATTCCCCAATTGAGGCTCCTTCAACTCAGGTGTGTCAAGTTAACACTAAAGCTATGTAGCACAGAAGTTTATAGTTCTAAGTGCCTACACTAAAAATCAGAAAGAGCACAAAAAAAAGACATAAAATTGCAACTCAAGACATTTGAAAGGCAACAACAAATAAAACCCAAACCCAGCAGAAGAAAAGAAATGACAAAAATCAGAGCAGAAATTAATGAAATAGAAACAAAGAAAACAATACAAAGAATCAATGAATCTAAGAGCTGGTTCTTTGAAAAAATAAACAAGATAGAGAGACTCTTCGCCCAGTTAACCAAAAGAAAGAGCAAATCCAAATCAACAAAATCAGACATGAAAGGAAAAGCATCACAATAGAAACCAAAGAGATCCAGAACATTATAAGGGAATACTTTAAAAACCTATATACTATTAAATTTGAAAACCTAAAAGAAAGGAATGGATATCTAAAATCATCAGAACCTCAAAGCTAAACCAAGAAGAGAACAAAAGTTTAAATAGACCCATAACATATAAGGAAATTGAAATAGTAATAAAAAGCCTCCCAACTAAAAAAAGTCCAGGCCCAGATGGATTTACAGCAGAATTCTACCAGACATTTAAAGAAGACCTCCAACCAATACTACTTAGATTATTCAAAATGATAGAAACAGGGGAGAACTCCCAAAATCCTTCTATGAAGCCAGCATCACTCTAATACCAAAATGAGGTAGAAACACAACCAAAAAAGAGAACCCACATCCTTAGTGAACACAGATGCAAAAATTCTCAAGAAAATACTTCCAAACCACATAGAGATGTACATCAAAAAGATCATACATCATGATCAAGTATGATTTCTTCATTCTAGAGATGCAGGAATGGTTCAGTATACACAAGTCAATAAAAATCATCAATCATATAAATGGACTCAAAGAAAAACCACATTGTCATCTCATCATAATAGATGCAGAAAAGAGTTTTGACAAAATTCAGCATGCATTCATGACAAAAGCTCTAAAGGGAATTGGACTGGAGGGAACGTACTTCAACATAATTAAAGCTATATACAACAA